GCAGTCTGGCTCCAGAGCACATATTATCAACCACAGAATACATTCTAATTCACTACACATATTCTACTCAAGGCCATTCTGAAATTTACCCCTCCTTTTCTCCCTCTCCCTTGTCTCCTCTCTTTGAGATAGATCTCTCTTTGACACAGGGTCTTGCTCAGTTGCTGAGGTCTAACTCATGATCTTCCTGACTCTCCTAAACCCACAGTGCTGAGATTACAGGCATGCACCACCTCTTTCCCCTCTCCAACATCTCCCCTTCTATGTCCTACATTTTAAGCCAGGGAAGACTGAACACGACAGGTATATTTTCACAACTCTAAGACTCAACTGCAAAGTTCTGTTCCTTCCTTTCCAACTCAAATCAAAAGCCACCTCAGGTGGAAGAATTATTCAGTCTCTCTCTCCAGGGCTCACAGCACACATATTATATACATTATGGCTGTTTTACATGGCTAATCTGAGTTTCTCAAGCTCCCTGTGATTTATACATCTTTGAACTACAAAGTTAGGAATACACAGAATACATAGTTCCATCAAACTTACAGAACTGAACTTAATTAAGTGAAAATTCTACCAGCCAAAATAAACTTTCAATTCCAAAACACAAACATTACAACCCAGGATTCCCTCGAAGGTGTAAAGTTAGCAGCAGTCCTCCAAATGTCAGACACACTGGATTCTTAAAGCTCTACACTTTATCAGACACTAGAGAGCAGGTATCAAAGCTGCCACAAATTCGAAGTTCTGATGCCCTACCTTCTGACTTCGTATGTTAGTCCATATGTTAGTCCAGAGAAACACATCTCTTCTCACTGCTCCTGGAACTCTCCTACCCCATAATTGACCACATCCACACACAACTTATGCAAAACGAGGGGAAAACTACCAGGAACAAAACCTATTGTCAACATACAAGCCACACCGTGTTTTCAAATTATCTTCCTTGGTGGTTTCTAGTGACTGTTTTTCACCTGAATGTCCAATCTTTTGCTTGCCTGGGCCACACTGAGCGCAGAGAAATTGTCTTGCACTGCATATAAAATATGTAAAACAGTTAATATAAATAACAAAACTTCCCTTTCTTATATTTTCTATTACACTTTTTTTAAAAGGCAAGTGTCCCTCAATCTCACTAGAGAGGAGGGGGTGGGGAATAGGAACCACCAAGGCCTAGAGTAGGGCCTGGAAACATCCATTTTTTAACAAGCACCTACAGCCGTTTTCCAACCCTAACCCCAACCCCAATTCTCCTTCGAGACATTAAATAGTTGTTGAACCATTCACGTCGATTCTGACCTTGACTACTCAGAGTGAGCAGACACTACACTACAGCTAATGGGCTTAGACTCACAGTACTACACCTCCCTCTCCAGATGCTGTCACAAACCATCTGTAATCAGGGGTTTCCATGACCTCTCTGCACATTGGGTCATTTTCTAAAATGGCTCCTGGAACTCAATGAAAACATTTTATTTATGTTTACTAGTTTATAAACAAGCCAGAACAGTCAGATAGAAGAGATTCTTAGGACAAGGTATGAGAGTGACTGCAGTTAATAACATACAGTTGATCCTTGAACAACATAGGTTTGAACTGCTGGGGTCCACCTGTGAGGATTTTTTGGAAATTTTTTGACAATTTGAAAAAGGCGAAGAACACTACAGCACAGAAATATCAAAAATAAATTTTAAATGTCAGATATGCACAAAGGCATAAAATTCCAGCAACCCCTTCAATTTTTACTATTATCTATAGCTAGGTAAGTACTTTTATTACTTACTGCCATAAAATATACATAAAATCTATTATTAAAAGTTAACATCACCGGGGATTTAGCTCAGTGGTTTCACCGCCTGCTGTGCAAGCACGAGGACTCGAGTTCGATCCTCAGTACCAAAAAAAAAGTTAACATCAAATCTTACACATGCTGAACATGGCTCCATTCTCAGCAAAGAGAAATGTACACAAAGGTGAAGATGTAATATAAATATAAAACTGCATAAGACTAACTGTAGTAGGTATTGTTGTATTACTGAAATAATTCCATTGCCATCTCCTGGCAATGTGATGTGATTTCAGTGACCTCAAGTGCTTCCAAGTATACAGTATGACATTGATCATCTTCACTTAAGCAATTCATCAAGTAAAACTGCATTTGTCCGTAAAAAGTGATCTCTGGAAGTTTTTGTGTCTTTGCCATATATAGTACATATGCCAAACAAAACGTGTTAATAAACTGTTTTATGTTTTTGGTAAGGTGAACTTTAAGCTGTTAGTTGAATTTTGGTGAAGTCAAAAAGTTCTAAGGTTTCTTTGATTTGTTTTGCTTTTTATGTGTGTGTGTGGTGCTGGAGTTTGAACGCAGGGCCTTCACATTGACCTACAAGCCCAGCCCTTTTTTTTATTTTTAGACAAGGTCTTGGTAAGTCACCCAGGATGGGCTCAAACTTGCATCTTTCTGCCTCAGCCTCCTTGAGTGCACGGATTATAGGCATGCACCACCACACAAGACTTCTCTTTGATATTTTACTGCATAAGACAAAGGTAAAAGAAGAGAAGCCCAAAAACAAAACTTCACAGTTAATACTGTTGCCTAATTACCTTTTCTAAGCACATCTCAGTACCTAATGACAAATAACTTTGCTATGGAAGAGGCAGGCACCAAAAAGTGGGATGTTTAAAATACTTGTCAGGAAGGATGCTTACATTATCTAATCACAGACAAAAGTTTAGATCAGTTCTAGATCAGGCAATGATTAGCTCAATCCCCAGAAGAAGGAAGCAACTAGGTAGAAATCCTAAGACTTCAACTTAGGACCTTTGAGATACTGAAGCACTAACAAAGGTTGTGACTAGTTTTTCCAATAAGACACCTAGAAGCCAGCAGCCTGATCTAGACAAATCATAGAACCTGGGTCACATGAAGTTTACAGAATCATAGAGATACTTCTACAGTAAGAACCTTTACATTTCATTGAGCCTGCAAACTGGTGGCAACCAAAAAAGGGCTCTAGTCAGTAAAGGGCCTCCTTCCAGAATAGTTACACAGAAGAACAAATGATGCAATTATAGTATATATAGTCTGTGCTTCAAAGACTTGAAATCTGAAAACATTTTTCCCCACTCTGAATAATGTTCACCAGACTAAAACAAGAGTACATTCCAGAGAAGGAACTATCAGACATTCACATCTGAATAAGATTTAATAGAAGAGGCATTATCCTTCACCCCCAGTTGTTAGTTCTGCATTAGAAGTTTCCGGTTTCCTGTTTTGTTTTGGGTGGGGGGTGCTAAATGGTGACCAGTCTTACAGCGTGAATACTCTACGGAGGGACACACCCGGTAAAAAAAAAAAAAAAAAAAAGCTCTGTAAAACACGAACGAAAGGACACACGAAGAGCCCGGGACTCCAGAAAACAGCCCCTAGAATTTGGAGGAAAAGAGCACCTTCCTTAACTCAATTCTCCTCGGGTTGCTTCACTGCTTTGAGTATCAAACAGCTGCTAGGGATCAGATTCTGAAACCAGACTGAGGAACTGCCTCTTTCCACCACCATGCCACCCACTGCAGCCCTCCTTTCCCTCCACCTGATGCCTATGCTGGCTCCAGAAGGAAAACTGAGACAATCTTGCTCACCAGTTAAGAGTTGCTTCAAAAATCAAGTACAAATAATTTCAGGGTGCTATATACGTCCCAGGTTTTCTCTTATACATCATGAAGCTGCTTCCTTGATGTAATTTGAAGACCTGGTCTTTGGAATATGACTGACCAGTTCAAATACCAACTCTGCCCCACTTGTTACTTTAACCCATCTAAAGGCTACTGTGAGGGTTAACGCAAGATCTGACATGAAAATCATCTGCCTCATAGCAAGTGTTCAGTAACTGACAGATGGGGGAGGCAGGTCCTAGTACTTTTAACAGAGTTTTTTAAGCATTTTGCATATTCTAGAGGATTAAACTAGTACTCTGGTCCTAATCAGAATACACTATGAATCATGTTTCAGGGCAATTTTTTCCTAAGAAAATACTGTCTAAAATCTTCCATAAAACAAAATAGAAAAATTCAACCTACTCTTTCCAGTTTAGAAACCCGTTTATCTTGGTTAGGAGGTATTGCCCTGAAATTCCCAACATTCTAACCCTAAGATTCCAACAGAAACTGCCCAAAGACAAAAATGTATGTTGACACTATTAATATGTATGTAAAAATCACTTTTTTTTACTAGATTCTGACATAAAGGTGAGTCGTGATAAATCTTACTCCTTCCTATTTCTCACAATCTGAGTTGCTCGAGTTATCCTTTTTGAATGATGGCATCAGAACCCAGCAGTTCCATTCAGCACCCTTCCTCAAGTATATAAAAAAAACAGCAAATTTTAGATCCCTTAAAACAGTAACAGGGAGAGAAACTGGGCTTTGTTTTTGAACATTCAAAGCACAAACATCAGTACAGTACATCAGAAATATACCTACCCAGCCCCTCAGACAAAGCCCATAAACCTTGTGAAGGGATCTTGCTTCATTTGTCACTTCTCGCTACCCATTTATCATGCCTTACGAAATGCAAAGTAACGCTCCAAGGCCCCATTCTCCTCAGGGTTCCCGATCTGCCGTTGCTAAAGTAGCGCGTACAGTCCAAAATCGTTTGCGGAACAGAAACACTGAGCAGCATACATGTGCCGTGGAGCTCCATCCACGTCACTAGGCAGAGGGACAAACCAGCCCTCGCCTCAACCAGGGGCAGTGCGCAGGAACCGGAGGAGGCTGGCACCCGGGTTTATAATGAACACAAACAAGCCTGAGCACGCGATCAGCGGCAGCACCTCGGCCGGGAGCAGAGGCGGCTCAGGGCCCGGGGGCGGCGGCCAGGCGCCCCGCCGCGCGGCGGAGGCGGGCTCGGCCCTTCCAGTCCCCTGGCGCCGCAACCCCGCGCCAGCCGCAACCCCGCGCCAGCCCCGACCCCGCCCGCCGCCCTCGCCGCGCCGAGCACGAACCTGCCTTGCACACCGGGGCGCTCGGGCTGCGTTGCTCCGGGGACCTCCGCCGCGGGCGGACGCGGGGCGGGGGCGGGACGGCGCTGCCCTCGCCGGCCCACAGGTGGGTGGGCGACGAGCCAGGCGACGGCGGCGGCGGCTGCGGCCGCGGAGGGCTTCCGCGGGCGCCGCGCGTGGGGCTGGTGCCGCGAGTGGCCGTGGCAGCCGCGCCCGTCTGCGTGGCCACTGTGGGGCTGGTGCGCGCCACGGAGCGCGGGCCCCCGCCGCTCCCGCCGCAGGGCCCTGAGGCGCTGCCGCCGTTGTTACCGCCGCCGAGGCCGCCGCCCCGTGTGGGGCTACCGTGCTGCTGCTGCTGCGGCTTCAGCTGGAACGGGACGGTGGCCCGAAGGGGCTGCAGGCGTCCCCCTGGGCCCCCGGCCACGGCCACCGCGCTGCCCCCGAGCGCGCCGGCCGGCGGGGGGGACCCGCTGCGCCGCACCCGCTGGGACATGGCCCACTCCCGGGTGACGGGGCGAGACGGGGGCTGGCTGTCGCTGGGCCGCGGGGGAGCGTCCTCGGGCCGCGGGGAAACCCCGCGACGGGGTGACGAAGCCAGACTCCCAGGTGCGAGGGAGCGGGCCTTGGCCTCGACGCGCGGTGCTGCATCCGCTGCCGCCGCGCTCATCAACAATAGTGTCCCCGCGCGGCCCCGCCCCCTGCGAGCCCATTGGTACGCGTCACCGCGCTCCAGCCGCGCCGCCGAGACGATTGGCTACCAGCCCCAGGATCCCGCCTCCGGGCCTAAAATCCTGGCTGTGCGGAACCCGTCCGCTCTTTAAAGGGAGAGACCCGCCCCCGGGGGTAGCGGTGCGCGTGCGGTTTGCGTACACGTGAGCACGCGCAGGCGCGCGCCTGGCCACGCGTGGTGCCCCTTCCTCGCTGTGGAGCGCCCTGGGATCCGGGCCCTGTAGCTTTGCCATTTCCCTGTCCAAAGCCAGCGTGGTCCGGGACCGGGCCTAATCTTCCCCACGCCCACGGTACCAAATGCAGAGGCGCGGACGCTGTCCCTTCCCGGCTCTTTTCCTTAATCTTTTTGTTCTGTCTTAATTCCGTCTGTGGACCAGGCTCAAAAGGAGAATTCATTTACTCTTACTGACGTTTATACCCATCTCCTTTCTTTTTTTAAAGTTCTACAAAGAGCGAAACCTATTAAAATTGCGCTTCGAATGCCTTTTTACATAGTCTCTATTGAGTTGTTACCAATGATCTTGCTACTCTACTGTATCTCAAATAATCAGGAATTTATTTTAATCAGCTACTTCACAGGCCCCTGGTACTGTACCTTGGAAGTATGTCTGCCACCTTATGAATTTGTACAGTGCTATACTTAGTGGGCAGGATCTTCACACATCTGGGCTGGCCAAACATATTTTAGTCTAGTGGAGGAAATAAGCCTTTGTGGTGTGGGTAAGGACTGAGGAGGGCAGGCCATCAAAAATATGTTGACCACCACCGTGTGTATGCATGGCCATGACCTCTTTTCCTTCTCTCCTACATCAGATGTGCATTCTAGACAGATCTAGTCTTGTAAAAATGTGGCAGTGCTGGGCACGATGTCACTGGCTCTCTGGGTTCCTGTGTATTGTGTTGGGAAACTTTGAAGACTAGAAAGAAGAGATTATTAACCAGTGGTCAAGGAGAACATGGTTTATGGAGGTGTTCAACGCATCTAGAGATCTAGAGGCCTGTCCCTCTGTGTACTGTCCAATCTCCTTTTCCCTGTGCCCTCCTAGAGGCAGGAACCTACCCTAATTTGGCTGGTGCCCTGGGTAAACCCGACATTACTACGCATTCCCTACAACTTAGGGTGAGGACAGCACAGCAAACAGCCAACAAGATCCATACTGAGAGCTAAGTTGGCTCTTAAAACAAAGACAAGGAAAGAAAGTGTGCCAAACAAATGTAAACAATCACCTGCACTGCCTAAAGCTTCGCATTTCTCTTAGGATGAGGCTGTCAAGCCCAAGCCTCACCATACCTTTCAGAGCACCCCCCCCCCTTTTACCCACTTCTTCCCTTCTGGGCTCCAGCCATACTTCTCTTTAATTTCCCCCAAATACCCCATACTCTCACCCTGACTCTTGTCAACCCCTAATCAGTTTTTAGATCAGAGAGGCCTGGGTTATCTTGATCTCCTCTTAAATTAGCATCTCTGGGTTTACAGTAGCACTATACTTGCTTGTTCAGTATCTATAGTCCTTTCTCAATTTTAAGCTCATTTTTTCACTCAATAAATATCCCTGACAGGCTTCTGTGTTCAGGGCACTGCCATGGCTTCAGAGTGATGAACAAGCCTTCATGCTCCTTGTACTCATGGACTTCTGCTGGAGACAAAGAGTGAGTAAACAAAATGTGTACATGTGCACATACACAAGTACATATGTGAATAAATCACCTACTGCAAAGTTCTTTGAAGAAAACCCATGAAAGAGAATGAATAGAGTCCCATGAAAGAGAATGAATGGAGTCCCATGAAAGAGAATGAAGATATATACCTAAACTAGGTGGGAAGTCCCTTCTATAGAGGTCGCACTTAGGATGAGACTTAAAAGAACAATCCATCATGGAAAAAACATCTCAAACAAATAGCCATGTTAAAGTCCAAGAAAGGAGTGTCCTGTCCCTTAAGAAATCAAAGCAAGGCCAGTGTCAGCAACAGGAAGAGTAATTCAGAGGTAAGATTGGAAAGATAGAGGCGACCTAATACAGAAAGTTTTAGAGAATAAGGGACTCAGATTTTATTCCAAGTACAGTGGTTTATTTTATTTTATTTTATTTTATTTTTGGTACTGGGGATCGAGCTCGGGACCTTGCGCTTATGAGGCAGGCACTGGAACCACTGAGCTAAATCCCCAGCCCAATTTTAAATTTGATCTTAGCCAAAAGGCTGAGAAGCGATTCAGTGGTTTATTTTGAATAAAGCTGGTTCCATTAGTGTCAAGTTCAAAAGAAACAACAGACACCAAAATAGAAATGAGAAACAATCTAATATTTACCGAAATCTATTAAATAGGGATGAAGGGGGGAATTTCTTTGCATGAGTCTCAATAAAAGTGATTTTAAAAATCTTACTCTATGTCTCCAAGTTCTGTTTATTACAACAGTCTCCCATCTGAATCCTTTATAAACATCCCCACCCTCCAAAAACAAAAACAACAGCAGCAAAAAAACCTAGGCCAAACCTGGGCCAGGCTTTTCTCTCTTTGGCTTCACTTTCTTATCTTCTAAGGTTTGCTCTTGCTCCTTACGTAATTCCATGCCGTTACTAAACCAATGTGTTTCCATCTGTCCTTTCTGACCTCATTTCTGCATCTCTGAGAATTAATCCTCAGAGATCAGCACAACAGAAACCCCAGAGCGCAGAGGTGGACTCTTCACAGGAAGGTATGGAGATTGACCTTCTGGGTGGGACTTGAAGACAGATTTTTCAGGTGACAGAAGGTGAGGGAAGTATATCCAGCAAGTCCCAGGTTCCTCGTTTGAATACCTACCTGGGTGGACAGTGGTCTGTTTATAGAGAGGAGCAAAATGAAAAAGGAAAAGCCTTGGTATCAAAATCAGTTTATTTGGACATAATTTGAGGGATTGTATACAAATTATTTAAAGGGAGTCATGAAAGGGATAGTTGCATACGTAACACTCAAAAATTCAGAGAGATGGGGATTTTAGCATGTGGATGTTATTTGCAGCTGTGTGAGCAAATGGGACCACTTAGTGATTTTACCACTACTTTCCTGGCGAAGCACAGTACCCAGCATTCACTGAGCACTGAAAACTACAATCTGAGCTACTGTCTGTCTTGTTCATGCTGTGTCCTCATGCATAGCACAGTCTGTCATGTGGCAGGTACTCCATAACTTCATGCAAATCCAATGAATGATTTAGATACCCTGTTACAGTTTATATCTGGATGTCCCACAAAGCCTCAGGTGCACAGAGGTGGGGCTTTTGGAAGGTGATGGGATTAATGGGGGCAGTTATAGCTGACTTGTTGTTGGGAGGTGGGGTCTGGCCAGAAGAGGCAGGTCATGCTGTTTCTGCTGTCTGTACACCATAAGATGAGCAGCTCTCCTGTACCAGTCCCCTTTGCCATAAACTTCTGCCTTGCAGCCTGCTGATGATGGACTGAAACATGAGCCAAAATGAACCTCTCCTTTAAATTGTGGGTGTTGGGTACTTTGTCCCAGTGACACCCACCATTTAGCAGCAAAAATATACTTGACTTTAGCTTGGTGTGGTGGCATACCTTGTAATCTGTAGCAGGATCACAAGTTCAAGGCCAGACTGGGCAACTTAGAAAGACTGTCTCAGAATTTTAAAGGGGGCTAGGGATGTAGCTTAGGGCCAGAGCAATTGACTAGCATGTGAGAGGCTCTGGGTACAATCCTCAACACAAAACAAACAAAAACACTCAAAGCCAATTTGCTCTTACCACAGGATAGTATTGTAGTTCAGTAGATCATTTAAAAAGAAAACAAAGACAAGCTGGGCATGGTGGCACACACCTGTAAGCTCAGCACTCTGAAACTGAGGCAGGAGGATCACTGTGAGTTCAAAGCCAGCCTGGGCTGTGTAGCGAATTCAAGGCCAGCCTGCACTATAAAGTGAGACCCTGTCTCAAAAAAAAAAAGACAAGTATATGGTCTCCTCATGATACAGCCAATAGCCAAGGAAACAGCCAAGGGCTGGGATGTGTAGTTCAGTGGTAGTTTGCTTAGCATAAATGACCTGGGCACAGCCCTGAGCACTGAAGAAAGGCTTGCTTAGGACTCAGATCTTTAACTCATACTTCGGTACCTTTTCAGTGCTGAACAGTCACTGTCAACAGACCAGCAGCTACTCTAGATATTTTACACTGACCAATTGACTTATGCTGTGAAGAAGGGGAAGAGAACAAAAGAAATCAGGTTTGGAATTGGTGAGTGTTACTTCCTAAAACATCTTACTTTTCTGCCATGCAAGCGTGTCTAAAAGATTCAGACCACATATCATAAGGTCTTTTCTCATTTTCAAAAGCAGAACACGGGTTCCCTTTATTCATTGACATTATGCTGGCTGGGACATGGTTCCCACTCTACCAGAAATTTTTTGTATATTTTCAAAAACTTTGATCTACTCATTAAAGTTGACAAAGGCATTTTAATTTATTAATTGAGCAAAGATGTGGAATAAAAGGTATAGTACTGTGTGTGTGTGTGTGTTTGTGTGTGTGTGTGTGTGTTACTGGAGCTGGAACCTAGGGCCTTTACACTGAGCTACATCCCTAGCCTTTTTGTTATTTTTTCATTTTGAGTCAGAGTCTTGCTAAGTTCCCCAGGCTGGGATCCAATTGCAATCCTCCTGCCTCAATCTCCCACAGTGCTGAGATTACAGGCATGTGCCACTATGCTCAGCTCTGCCTTTCTTCTTGGGGACTTTTCTCTATATGTGATTGTAATAAGAATAGGATAGTTCAAAGGGTGGTTCTCAGAGAGTATCTCTGAAGTTCCTCCAGAACAACTGGCCTCTGAAAGAGGTGCAGGTGGGGATAGCAGTAGGAAGATTTTATTTTATGTATATTCTTTGTATTATTTGAAGATTAGAAGACAATGTTCATGTATTAATTTATAGGAAAAATTTAATGAAAAAAATCTCAACACAAGGTTATT